TAATAACAAGTTATTTTTTTATTGAATATTATGTGGTAGTATTCCTTCCCCTTTATTTTTCTTCTTTCTAGGTATTTCTTTCTCCTGATGAGGAGGGACCTTTAGCTGCCCTCGAAATTGATTGAGTGTTTCAATATACTTATGCTAATTACAAGGTTGTTTTTACGATTTTGATAGTTATATTTAAGTTTTACTAATGAAATATTTTAATATAATAATATGAATAATTTATATCTTTCAAATTTGCCTCATTTCACTACTTATTCGAGAATTCATGCAGATTTTGAGTGGCAAACAGTTTTACTACAGAAGAATTGTACAAAACTGATGTGAGAGTTTTGGCCTATCTGAATACGGTGTACTCCTGTGTAAAATTTCACTCTCTCTTAGAGACTCCTGCACTGTCTTGAATTAAATATTATAGTACAAGCATATAGTTAGTTAAAATGGTAAGATGTAAGTCTGAATCTCTGTTACTCTCAAAAGAAGTTTGTAGCCCCTGACAAAAATAAGATTAAATTGCTTAAATTAATTAAGTTACTATAAATTTGAGTACTATAAAGGAAGCTTTTGTTTAAGCCAGGTGAACCTAGCAAGTGATAATTTTGCATTTTACAGTCTTAATTTAACCCTCACAAGTGGTGAAGTAGAATAAATTTATAAAGAGAATATATTTCTGTGTCTGTTTTACAAGTTTAGAATTTCTAGGATAATTCTTCTCACAGAATCTATGTAGCACATTAGTTTCATAATAAGTTAGCTAACTTAGTTGAATCCAAGACAGTGATTCAATGCATAATCAATTTTCTAAATAAAATGTATGTTTTAGAGGTTACATAACAAAATTTTATTTTTATTTTATTCACCATTTCAGAAATTTAGCTGAGGAAACTTTACATACAGTGCAATTAGTATTAAAGCCATGACTGAATAGAAAGTATTTATTACAAATGTCAAATTATGTGCCATATTTATACTTGCTTTCAATACATATTTAAAACAGTTTTTATTCATTTAGGCAGTATGTGTTAAAAAAAGTACATAGTTTAAGAATTTTAAAGAATAATTTATAAATCAGTAACTTGCTCAAAAGCATTAAAAATACCAGTAAAGCTTTTAAAAATTTAAAAATGCATATACAGTCAAAAGTCTTTAATCCGGACTCGGCGGGACTTCGGCGATTCCGGATTATCGATTTTTCCGGATTATAGATCATCAGTTTAAATCTGGCAAGATGGCATGCAGAAATTATAAAATAAAAAATATAAAACCGTAATTTATAAAATAATGAGCAATTATGATCTAAAGGGTATCAAAATTTACAAAAAAAAAAGCTTAATATTTATTTGTTTACTTTATTAAACATTTCTTTCAACGCGCGCATGCTTACCTTACGCATAGCCGAAATTAGAAAATTGCAACCAGAAAACTATTTGATTTGTATTCGTGATATTTATAATGACGAGGAATTTGATTTAAATCATATCAAAGACGGAGTACATCGAGATTAAATACTACATTTAATAAGGATTTATAAGCCGAATAAAATAAAAACATCTGCTCTGAAGATAACGATAGTGGTGACAGATCAACTTCCAGTTCATTGTGCGTCGCGACCCCCCCCCCCCACGCAGAGCAGCGTGAAATTGATAAACAGATTTCGGAACGGTTAGATAAACAAATTATATACCTTTATCCATTTTTTGTAGCAATTCGTTTTTTTGTTTGATGGACATCGAATCATACTTTCGTTTTCTAGATCCTTTGGGAGCTCCAGCATCGGAAATTCTATTTGACATAATCGAAAGTTCAAGCTTACTTTTATAAAATTGCTCTTACAGTCTGCAAAAAATAATAAGCCGGATCCAATTCGAAGATTAAGGAACAAAGCAATCATCAACATTAACTGAAATAGATAATTAGATAATTTTAGCTTATGCCGTCCGACGCGAAAACGTATTCTGCACTTGCGCAGACGCATGTGCGCAGTCGTAAATGTCTTGCGCGGACGCGTCAAACGCCTATGAGCATGCGTCAACGCGGCGCATGCGCAGAAAGATTTTAGCTTTGAGGTCCGGATTATGGGTGTCCGAATTAACGACTTTTGACTGTATTTTAAAATGAACATTACGTTAACAGATAAAACGCTACAAAAATATTGGATTAATTTAAGAAGTGGCTAATGGTAGCATATTTTATATCATTTTATTAATATTGATTTATAACCATGGATATTTTATACAAGCAAAAGTCGTTAATTCGGACACCCATAATCCGGACCTCAAAGCTACAAACTTTCTGCGCATGCGTCGCGTTGACGCATGTGCGTAAGACCTTTACGGCTGCGAATATGCGTGTGCGCATGCACAAAATACGTTTACGCATGCGCGTTTAATGTATAACGGACGGTATAAGCTAAGCTAAAATTATCTAATTCAGGTTATGTTGCAGATAGCGTTGTTCCTTAATCTTCGAATTGGATCTGGCTTATTATTTTTTGCAGACTAATAGAGCAATTTTATAAAAGTAAGCTTGAACTTTCGATTATGTCAAATAGAATTTCCGAATATGTACTATTTACTAATATGTAAAGGATCTACAAAGCGGAAAGTATGTCTCAGAAGTCCATCAAACAAAAAGTGGAATTGCTGCAAAAAATGGGTAAAGGCATATCCTTTTATTATCTAACCATTCCGAAATCAGTTTATCAATTTCACGCTGCTCTGCGGTGTGTGTGTGTGGGGAGCACCGTGGCGCGCAATGAATTGGAAGTTGATCTGTCAGCACGATCCTTATCTTCAGGGTAGATGTTTTTATTTTATTTATTTTTTTTTCAATATAACTTTGTACAAAAGCTTTCCAAATCAACACATTTAATACCGTAAGATCCCCAATACGTAAGGACATGAGTAATGTAAGCAACACTCACTAAAAGAGAAATCAGAGGGATAAAAAGAAGCTTTATTGAAAAAGTAGCATGGAGCGCAATGCGACTGAAGGCCGAAACATCCCTGTGATGGGTGTCCAGCAAGAAACATCCATTCTTTAATAGGGGATATGATCTCCCCTGACTGCTAGGCAGGTTTCACAGCGTCTGCACATGCTGAGAATGAGGGTGTCAATGAGTTGTTGAGGCATTGGTGCCCATTCGTCTTGCAGCACCAATTGAAGCTCCGGAATCGTTACTGGTGGTAAGGTACGAGCTGCCAAGCGTCTGCCTAGAAAATCCCATAATGCTCGATGGGATTGAGATCCGGAGATCGTGCCAGCCAATCCATACGTTCAATATCCTCACTCTCTAAGAGCCGTTCGGCAGCTACTGTGCGATGACACGGTGCATTGTCGTCCATGAAAAGGAACTGCGGACCCATAGCACCTCTAAAAAGACGCACATATGGAAGAAGAATCTCGTTACAATAACGGGTCCCGTTGACTGAACCTGCATCGAAGATGTGAAGGTCTGTACGACTACCAAGCATGATGCCTCCACAAATGAGAACACCGCCACTTCCATACCTGTCCCTTTCAATGAAGTTCGAGGGATGATTGCGGCTTCTCCGCTCTCTCCAGATGAGTATGCGATGAGAATTGCTACTCAGACTGAATCTGCTCTCATCTGTAAAGAGTACTCGTCGCCGTTCATTGTCTCTCCAATTCCGGTGTTCCCGGCACCACAGAGAACGCCTTCACTGATGGGCAGGCATTAGAGGTACACACCGTACAGGGTGTTGTGCAAACAGACCACCACCATGCAGTCTTCTGGCCACGGTAAAATGCAATATCGGTCGTCCAGTCACCTGTGTCGTGTGTCTAGCGATTTCTCCCCGCTGTCTGTCGCCTGTTTCTTCTGGTCTGTAAGGCAATATACCGGTCATCTGCGGGTGTGGTTCCTCGTGGACGACCACTACTAAACCCCTGGATAGCTGTTCCGGTAGTTTGAAATTGTCTCCAAAGTCGTGAAACGATGCTGTGAGCAATTCGGAACTCTGCAGCCACACTTGTCACACTGCGGCCTTCCTTCAACTTCCCAATGATTCGACCTCGGGTAAAAGCATCCAGATGTCGTCTAACAGATTGATTATTCGCCATTTCTCGCTGAGGCAGCAACTCGGTGTGATTTTAACTGCTATACGGCGTGCAATCTCTTTGCCAGAAATACTGATCTTACACCGACAACATGCTTTATACTACTCAGACACTCCCCCATTACGTCTACCTGCATATATGCGCATGTGCTACCGTACATCACCTTACTTAATCTCCTGATTGGTCTTTCTGTCCGCTCTGTCTCTTCGTTCAGCTGATATGCTAATTTTTCGACTTCGTCCTTAATTTTTGCACACCAGTGTAATTCCTTACTAAATGTAGTATTTCATCTCGATGTACTCCGTCTTTGATATGATTTAAATCAAATTCCTCATCATTATAGTTTGCTTCCGATAGCGAAGAAAGTGACACAGAGGTTATTGAAAACAAAAAAATTTCGATTGACAAATTTGTCGGTATTCTCTACACAGCAATTATAGTACTTGAACAGCAGAACTTTGTATCTGAACAAGAAATTATGTCTGTTTATAGAATTAAAGAGAAAGTATTACCACATAAAAAAAGAATGAACTCAAACAACTTACATTGAAAGAAATGTTTAATAAAGTAAACAAATAAATATTAAGCTTTTTTTTTTTTTTTTTTGTAAATTTTGAGACCCTTTAGATCATAATTGTTCTTTATTTCATAAATTATGGTTTCATATTTTTAATTTTATAATTTATGCATGCCATCTTACCAGATTTAAACTAATGATCTATAATCCGGAAAAATCGATAATCCGGAATCGCCGAAGTCCCAACGAGTCCGGATTAACGACTTTTGACTGTATTTAATACGTACCTGCAATTAGTTAAATTGAAATATGGATAAACAATAATGAATAATTTAAAAATTCACTAGGATAAAATATGATTTCACATATATAAAAATAACTGAGAACAAAAGCTTACAGAAAAAAGAGGAAGATCATGCATTAAAAATTTTGGCAGATTTACATCAGTTATTGATCGCAAAACTAAAATATCTTCACTTTCATCTGGATATTTCAACTGGAAAACATGGAATACAAATGTTAATATTAATTATTACAAATGTCAAGATTTTTAGAGGGCAAAATAACAATTCAAAAATAGTGTATCAAACATAATAAAATTATATACAGTGCAAAGTCTTTAATCTGGACGTCCATAATCCGGACCTCAAAGCTACAAACTTTCTGCCCCTGCGTAAATGCATTAATGCGTTTAATGTATAACGGACGGTATAAGCTATACTAAAATTATCTATTCCAGTTAATGTTGCAGATTGCTTTGTTCCTTTTTGCAGACTGTTAGAGCAATTTTATAAAAAAAAAGCTCGAACTTTCGATTATGTCAAAAAGAGTTTCCGATTCTGGAGCTGCGAAAGGATATACAAAGCGAAAGCACGTTTCGATGTACCGCTTCCAATAGTGAAGAAAGTGACAGAGAGGTTATTGAAAATGAAAAAATTTCGATTGAGAAATTAGTTGGTATTCTCGACACAGCAATTACAGGACCTTGAACAGTGGAACTTTGTAACTGAACAAGAAATTATGTCTGTTTATAGAATTAAGGAGAAAGTATTAGCACAAAAAATGAAGCAACTTAAACAACTTACATTGAAAGAAATGTTTAATAAAGCAAAAAAATAAATATAAAGTTTTTTTTTTTTGTAAATTTTGATACCCTTTAGATTATAATTCTCTTTATTTCATAAATTACGATTTCATATTTTTAATTTTATAATTTCTGCATGCCATCTTACCAGATTTAAATTGATGATCTATAATCCGGAATCGCCGAAGTCCCGATGAGTCCGAATTAAAGACTTTGTACTGTATTAATGAAAAAATTATATTTACAATAATTACATTTTGCTATATCTCTTATTATTTTATAAAAATATTAAAAGAATTTATTCAACAGTTTTCTCACATACACCCATTGGATGTACAAATACGAAGTAATACCCATTGGATGCATAAATTTCCTACATACAATATTGGATGTACAAATAAGTCTCTGCGTTTCAAAAAAAGATGGCACCAGTAAGTTATAGTTATATTGTCTGATGTAGAATGTCATATCGTACGGCTGGACATCTATTAACAATAGAACCTTAAAATATTAGCGATTTTATATCAGCATATATTTTTTTCCGCGCCAAAAAGTCGAGTTTTGAGCCGATGAATGAACATTATTTGCAGGAACGTTTGATTTGCTTCTGTAATTTGAAGAAATTTGCAGCTGAAGCATATCGAGTGCTTGTAGAAGTACATGGTGAGGTCACCTGCCTGAAGTGAGAGAAGTTGTCCTGAGTGGTTTCAAACGTTTAAGAATGGTTAAGTTGACGTTGAAGACGAAGAACGGAGCAGAAGGATAAAAGTGCACGAACATGCGAAATCGTGTCAAACGCAACTAGAACTTACACTTGCATTATGAATGATGCAACAAGCAATTTAAAATTATTGGGAATGATTCAAAGCTAAGGAAATTGCATTCCATACGAAATGAAGCCGAGAAACATTGAATACCGATAATTTACACATGAAATGCTCCTTGGCAGGCATAAAAGAAAGGTTTTTTTTTTTTTTTTTTTTTCATTGCATAGTTACTGGTGATGAAAAATGGACCAAAGAAGACAAAATCATGGGGAACACTTAATCGTGTTTCAACATCGACAGCCAAGCTGAATATTATTAGGAAAAACAAATCATGCTGTATATAAAATCATTGGGAATGATTCAAAGATAAGGAAAATGCATTTCATGCGAACTGAAGCTGAGAAACATTGAATGCCAGTTTTTTACACATGAAATGCTCCTTGGCAGGCATAAATGAAAGGCCTTTTTTTATTTTGCATTGCATAGTCACTGGTGATGAAAAATGGACCAAAGAAGATGAAATCATGGGGACCACTTGGTCGTGTTTCAACATCGACAGCCAAGCTGAATATTATTGAGAAAACACAAATCATGTTGTATATATGGTGGGATCATGTGGGTGTTATGCATTATGAGTTGCTCAAACCGAATGAAACTATTAGTGGGTCTCTCTACAGAACACAACTGATAATACTGAGAACAGCATTCAAAGAAAAATATAGTAGTAACAACATTATTCTTTTGTATGATAATGCTCATCAACATTACTCCTTCTGATTATTACAGTCAAAAGTCGTTAATTTGGACACCTATAATCCGGACCTCAAAGCTAAAAACTTTCTGCACATGCACCGCGTTGACACATGCGCATAGGCGTTTACGCGTGCGCGTAAGACCTTTACAACTGCACATATGCGTGTGCGCAAGCGCTGAATACGTTTTTGCGTGCGCGTTTTATGTGTAACGGACGGTATAAGCTAAAATTACCTAATTATCCATTTCAGTTAATGTTGATGATTGTGTTGTTCCTTAATCTTCGAATTGGATCCGGCTTATTATTTTTTGCAGACTGTAAGAGCAATTTGATAAAAGTAAACTTGAACTTTCGATTATGTCAAATAGAATTTTCGATGCTGGCGCTTCCAAAGGATCTACAAAACGAAAGTATGTTTCGATGTCCATCAAACAAAAAGCGGAATTGCTGCAAAAAATGGATAAAGACATGAAGAAGGTGACAGAGAGGTTAGTGGAAACGAAAAAATTTCAATTGACAAGTTAGTCGGTATTCTCGGCACAGCAATCACGGGACTTGAACAGCGAAACTTTGTAACTGAACAAGAAATTATGTCTGTTTATAGAATTAAAGAGAAAGTATTATCACATAAAAACGAAGCAACTTAAACAACTTACATTGAAAGAAATGTTTAATAAAGTAAACAAATAAATATTAAGCTTTTTTCTTGTAAATTTTGATACCCTTTAGATCATAATTGTTCTTTATTTCATAAATTACGGTTTCATATTTTTAATTTTAGAATTTCTGCATGCCATCTTACGAGATTTAAACTGATGGTCTATAATCCGGAAAAATCGATAATCCAGAATCGCCGAAGTCCCGACGAGTCCGGATTAACGACTTTTGACTGTACTTGTTTCGATTGATGATAGATGACCAGCAGTGCTTCACATCACATGAAGATACCAAAAATTGGGTTCATTCGTGGATGGCCTCGAGAGATGAAGCATTCTTCAGAGGCAGTATACGTATGCTGCCAGAAAGAAGGGCGAAAGTAATGGCTAGCGATGGACAACACTTTGATGAAAACATAACATATAGTTTTTTCATAATAAATGCCGAATTTTTGAAAAATGGTGGAGAATTATTTGCACTCCTTACACAATTATCTCAAATAAAGTTTTAAACTTTCTCATTAATTTAAAAAATTACACAAATATTCATTTTTGAAAAAAAAAAAAAAAAAAAAAAAAAAAAATTAGAAGCATTCATGGCAAAGCAACAAAATAAAAATTATCTACGTTTCACAGTATATTACAATATTACTCTCCTTTTAAAATTTTAAATACATATGTAGTGATCATATGTAGTTAGTTACTTGTTCATGTTGCTTTATATTAATACCGATGAGATGTGCAGCATTGCATGAGGCTCCCATCTATTAGCACTGATGAGAAGCGCAACATCCACAAAGTTGGTATGCACTTGGGTTTTGATCTTGGGTCTGTTACACGCAGTTGAATACCAAAATGCTATTGCAAAAGAGCTCTCATGTGGTAGATTTTGATATTTGAACAGCTTTATAATGCAATCATTTGATTGGCTTCTGACAAGGCTACACATTTCATTTACTGAAGATTAAGCTTAGCAATGTACTAATAATATAAATCTGCTCTACTATCATATAAATCAGACATTTGATATGTACACTTTAAAATAATTTAAATAGACATTTGTAAGACTTGATGATAATATTCCCCTTACAGACCATGAAACCCCATTAAAATAAAACAGGAACTTCCCCAAAAACTTGAAACTAAGAAATTAAAAAGAGATCATGAATTACTGTTATCAGTATTTTTTAGTTTTAAATGAAAGAAAATAAAATCATACATAACAGCAATATATGTGCAATACCACTTACTTTCAAATTCCCAGCAGCAGTCAGAACAGATTTAACAGCTCTCATACCATAATCATAATGACTCTGTGAAGATAACTGTTCAGAACAAAGTCTATAAGTAGCAACTATTTTAACAGCTAAAGGTCTTGCATTCACAAATCCACAAGAGTAAAGAACAATTTCAGATATAAGTGCATAGTCAGGCACCATCATAGCAACTGGGCGAAAAAGGGCCTAAACAACAAACTTCGTTATGTATTTGTTAATGCAAAGAAGAAATAAACATACAGAGAAAAATATCGTCAATGTAATAGTTGAAAGTTAAATTTTAATTAGATAAAATTTTTTTTTATGGTGGAGAATGAGGATAATTTAGTTACCCAGCACACTCTCATTAACACAAGTCTCAAGGGGGACCCCCCCTCCCCCCAAAAATCAAAAGTTTGTTATGTTTTGCAATCACAAAATAGTGTCCAAACTTTAAAGTGAATTATTGCTAAGCATAAAATACCAATTGAAACTTTAGAAGGGTGCTAAAGACCCTTTTATTTAAAACTAAGAAGTAATTTAACACAGAAGATACACCTGGTACTTATAAATCAGATTATCACTTGTGGCGATGTAACCTAAAGTAACAGTCAAATGTAAAAGTTCAAATTCAAGTAATCTAACAGCCAAAGGCTACAAAATGCAATCTAACGCAAAGTTAGTCCATAAATCTAACTGCTGTGTAGATTTAATATCAGAAATTATAATGCAAGGCCAAAGATTACAAATCTTACCTAAGCTAACAACCTAGTTATGTGGTCTTGAGAGGCAGAAAATGCTCTGTCTTACAATCTGAAATCCTCATCTTAAATACACATGAGCTAGTTTGTACTCTTGTATGAAAATATAAAACAGTAAAAGTCTAAATCACAAAATAATTGGTTGATTAACATAAAAGAATCCTATAATGTTCCCTGCCAGAATTTAACGACCTTGGCAAGATTTTAAATTCTAAACCTACTTTCTATAATCAACAGCTCACAGATTAATTATATGATAGATGAGTCTCCCCAGGATAATTCATCAGGAATTTATATTTTTTTAATTTTTATCAACATCTGCTCTCCTTCCGGTCATCTAGAAGGAAAAATATTTTAGCACAAAAACATGACATATTCACTTCCCTTTTAACTTCATATGGAGAACTTTTACTTGTGTATTCCTTCTAGATGACCCTGTTCTCCCCCTACTCTCCAGCAAAATATACTAAATGGAAGAGTGTTTGGTATTATAGAAGTCTATCAACACTACCACCTGACCGAAATACTACTGCTAATAACTTAGACACACTAGATCTCAAGAACACCTTAACCCTTTAACTGTCAAGTTATTTTGATGATTTGGGTACACAAATTGTCAAATTTTTTTATTGCAAAAATCAAATGTTTAGTACAAAATAAAATATTCTTAAGTAGTTAAAAATTGATATTTTGAAGTACATGGGTAAAATTTTTAAAGTTTTGTAGCCGCTGCATATTTGCTTGAGGCGGCTGCCACTCAACATGGCAGTTGTAAAGTTCGCTTCTAGTGGAGCATTATTTTCTAAAAATGAAAAAAAATTATTATTTTCTAAAAAAGAAATAAATATAAGTGAATATCTATTAGTAGTTCCGTAATTCAGTCTTGTGTGGTACAACTGGAAACACTTTTCCAAGCACAAACGAACTCCACAATCACTACACCAGAATCGTGATTCCTTCCTTATCTTTTCCTCATTTTTATCCTTTTTCGAACAACACACTTTGCACTGTCTTGTAGGCGCACGTTTCGCAGGAGTAGGAGGAATATGGGATATGAAATGTCGTTCAGTAAGACGGGCAGGGTTATCTATTGTAGGTGTTCTGCCAACATTCTTTTGTCCAGAAGCTGCATCATCATATTTATGTAAAAGCTCTTCTACAATTTGGATTCGAAATTCTAGAAATGTAATATGTTTCCCAACTACATTTTTATAGAGCAAATATGAGTTCCAAAGTACATTGTCTAGTAAATGTAAAAATATCTTTTTATAATATTTTTTCTGACGTTTAACGGATTGTTGGATGAAAGGATATTTCCTAATCACAGCGATCTACACCACCCATAGTTAGACTGCAATTAGAAACAATCTTCGCCTTGAGTATATCTCCATTTTTTTTATTTTTGAGGCTGACCATGGAAGTATCATGAATACTGCTCATCAAACACACATCCTTCATCTTCGGCTGAAGAATCTAAATCATCTATATAACGTTTCAAAGAACTGGACGCCATTTTACAACAAAAAGATCCCATGCACTTTGAACCAAAGAACTTTTAACCTCTAACCTTTGAAATCTTCAGTAAAGTGCTGTCATCTATTGAACTGAGCGCACATTAACTTTTCCCGAGATACAGTCGGGTTTGACAAAGAGATGAAGCCGAAATAAACGTCTCCCGATATATATTTGGGTATAACAATACGATGCACTCAAAAAAAAAAAAAAAAAAAAAAAAAAAAAAAAAAAAATTACCCCGAGTAATACTCGGGCGTGACATTTTAAAACACCAGTGCTGTGCCCGAGATTATCTCGGGCATGACAGTTAAAAGGTTAATATAATTAAGACACAATAACACGCCGAACAATTATTAATTTGGAAGTCAAACAGCAAAAATCAGCGTTATATTTTCAAATTTTCACAGGACTAATTTCGATGGTTTTACCGAACCATCATCCTCAGCTACAAAAGCCCAAATGAACGAGATAAGATATAATGATTAGATAAGATAAGAAAGTCTGGACAGGAGATAAGCTACTGGCACCATCTGTTAATGAAACCAGAACTAAAACATAATTTCTTTAAAGCTGAAGGCAAAGATGGATTGGAATTAGGGTCGTTAACTAGAACAGAAAGATTTTTTTTAATGTGAAATGCCTCTAGAAAATCCAGTTCACCAATGGAAGATGTTTTTTGAATAATTTTGCAGCTGAAGATGATGGTGTGTGATGAAAGTGTGATTTTCAGACCAACAATGTTGGGCAACAGAAGACTTCTGTGTTTCCTTTTTTCTAACATATGCCTCATATTCCATAAAGCGAAATTTTAAGGCTATCTTAGTTTGGCCAATGTAAATTAATGTATCTTAATATGGTAAATAAAATACAGCAGAAAGTCTTTAATTCGGACTCGTCGGGACTTCGGCGATTCCGGATTAGGGGTTTTCCGGATTATAGATCATCAATTTAAATCTGGTAAGATGGCATGCAGAAATTATAAAATTAAAAATATGAATCCATAATTTATGAAATAAAGAGCAATTATGATCTAATGGGTATCAAAATCAACAAAAAAAAAAAGCTTAATATTTATTTGTTTACTTTATTAAACATTTCTTTCAATGTAAGTTGTTTAAGTTGCTTCGTTTTTTTGCTAATACTTTCTCTTTAATTCTCTCTTCTATAAACAGTCTCTCTTCTCTTTACGTGCATTAAACGAGCTTGCGTTAATGTATTATGCGCATGCGTAAAGGCATAATGCATTTACGCATGTGCATAAATGTATAATGCATTTATGCATGTGCATAAAGTTTGTAGCTTGAGGTCAGGATTATAGATCATTTCGGATTATGGACGTCCGGATTAAAGACTTTGTACTGTACTAGGTGACCCCCAAAGTCCGTTAACATTTGAAAATTCAATAAATTATAGAATAATGTAGGTAACGAGGTAAAAATTAACACACATGTTTGAAATGACATAGGGTTTTATTAAAAGAAAAAAATTAAAAAAAAAAAAAAAAGTGCAACATATGGTACTGGGCAGCAAAATGTCAGTGATGCCGCATGAGAATCGTGTATGAAATGAGCTTTACTGAGAGAGGGAATCAGTTCCTTCATGACTTTGTCACTTTTCAACCTTCACCTCTGGGTGTTAGTCACTGTGTGATGTGGACTTATCACATCAATCCTGACTGGACAATTTTTCTTCCAGGAAATGTGTAGTTCTGCTATTCGAATTATCAGTGTGACAGGGGCAAGGTATGCTAATATGTTACAGAACTGTATCATCCCTAGTCTGGCTGATAAACACCTGTTGGAAGGTATGACTTTTATGCAGGAGTGCTCCACCTGTGAAAGATTTCTTGCAAACATCGTTTGGTGAGGATCTCATAGTGAGCCACCACTTCCGTCATGCTTGTCCTCTCAGGTCTACAGATCTCAATCTGTGTGATTATTGGTTGTGGGCAAAACAACATCTGATGGCAATTTCTCAACATACCTACAGATATGCTGTACAGTGCTGTTCACAACATTTTCCCTCGACTACAGGTATTGCTGATGAATGATGGCAGACATGATGAAAATTTGTTATAAAAAATAGTCTTTGCTAAAAATCAATTATTATGCTAATTATTGCTTTTCTTATCACATGAAGAACCATCTTTTGGCTGTGTTAAGCACTTTTTTTCCTTGCAATAAAACCCCATGACATTTCAAGCAAGTGTGTCAGTTTTTACACCTCTACATACATTATTCAGTGAACTACTAAATTTTCAAATGTTAACAGACTTTTGGGTCACCCAGTAATTCATTAAATCTGAGTACACTGGATAGCCTAATAGCTTTCATGCTGGAGTTTTAACAATGTTTGTGCACACTGCTAACTTTAACTTATTTTATCTTAGCATGCTAGCTTGCACTTACACATTTCATACACACATTAAGAATTCAACTTTTACAAGCATACAAGAATATACTTTAGCATTGAACACATAGTTTACAAACAGTAACATATTTACAATTCATTTACATGAGGAAAAATGATTGAGCTTGCACCTTATATCACATGTACAGTAGCTGCTTATTTTGCAATTACACCAAACTTCCTTAAAACAGGCTATTCGACTAAAATCAGAAATCTTATACTAAACTTAAAATCATTATGATAAATATATATTTAAATTAAAAGCTTCTTGCTATATAACAAAAGTGAAATGTCCTTGCTTGAAGGAAAAACTTAGGATAAATAGCAACTGCTGGACTTTAGACATAAATAAAAAACTAAGTACTTGAAGAAATTAAATTTCACTTATGTTTTTCTCTGCTGGTAGTAGTCACTCATCTGTTTGGCAAGGAAAATCTTCTCAAGATGAATAAATACTTGTTTGTTGTACTTTTATCTGTTTCCCTGGCTGTGGCTCAACATGTATGTGACCTGAAAACTCGTGTTTTCTGCGCTCATTTCTGGAACCTTCTGAATTTTGATAGGCCCTGGATGAAATCTGAAGTTGTGGACAGCTTCCTCATCTCTAGACTGGTTGCCAGCACATGTGGTTTCTCCTGGACTCTCATCTGTTGGTTAGCCAAGCTTATCCTCTGCTTCTTTTATACTTTTTTCTTCTGTGGTGATTCCTTCTCCATTGACCACAATTGGAGTAGATGTTGAATTGAAGGTACATTGCTGACATAGTTATGCGGCAACTGAGATCTTGTTCGTTGATGTCTCAGTTGGCTCCGATTCTCTGTTGTTTGCTCACTAGATCTGGTGGATTGTTGAATTTTCTTTGTTTTTATTGAAGCTTTGTTATGCCTTAGACATGGTTCTCTTATCTTCATCAGCTCACATTCTTCTGATGTGACACACCCTGGCTTTTTCTTTTCTGCTGCATCATTTTTGGTGTCTCCACCACAAATAATTTGAATGCTCATAATATTTATAAGCTGATCAAAATTGGCCACCACATTCTCTCCAATTTCATGCCTTTAAACAATCACTGCTTCACGAATTCCTCCAATTACGAAAGGGCCTTCAAATTTAGGGCAAAATTTTCCCACCTTTATCCTCAACTGCACATGAAAGAGAATGTTTTTTTAGAACAATTTATCTCCCACCTTAAAGTCCTTCCACTTCTTATAGTGTAATTCTTGTTTTTTTTCTCACTGTATCCCAATTATGGATAGCTTTGTCGACTAATTTCTGGATATCTGCTATTTTAAATACTGTAGCCCTCTTCTGAATGAAAAATAGTTTATCCAAAGAGATAATTAACCTTCTGTCAAAACATAATTCATCTGGCATCTTCTTGATAGTATCATGTTTAGCTATTGTCAAGGCATACACAAGTTCATCGACACAGCTATCCTAGCACTTATGATATTTCTTCATACAACTATGAATAATCTTAACTATATTTTAGTTATCCTATGCGGATGTATGTAGTTTTTACTAACAGTTCCTTTTCAGTTAATGCAACTTTTCTTTACACACAAGCTGCATCATTATTTATCTATGTCACTGATATCAAAATTTTCATGACATGTGCATTAGTATTACTGCTTACCTTTAAGAAGCATAAAGGTTTCTGAAAGATATAATAAAAATGGCATACTTTTAGGTTGTCGGGAAGCTCTGAACGCCCAGCATATCCAGGATTCATAGTAATGAAAACTGAACAGGTAGGATCCAGTTTTATGTCTGTTCCTTCAAAGAGTAAAGTTTTTGCTCCAGCATTTATACCCCTTTGTATGGTCAATATTTGTTGAGCAACAACGGACAAAACCTCCAAGTCTATACGATTAAATTCATCAAAACATGACCAGGCACCACATGATGCCAATCCCTATATAAGTATATTAGAGAAACATACAATAAAAAAATAAATACAATAAAAAAGGGAATAAAATAACTTTAAATGTATTAATTTTAAAAAATGAATAAATTTTTAATAAATAAATGAATACGAATTTTAATAAGTATTAGATTTCATATATTAGTTCATTTTGGAAAAAAAAAAATATATGGTAATATACTTTCATGAAAATCACACGTGGAAAAAATATTTTAATGTTACAAATAGTATTATGACACTAAAGTGATACTCCTACAATATTATGCAGCTTCATAATGCATGGTTTAGTTTAGTTTGGTTTGGTTTGGTTTTTATTTGATTACAGCAAAGCACTCAAGGGCTATCTGCCTAAGTGGAGGGAACCTTCATGGAGGACTTTCTAAGGGAAACTTGTTTGTATACATGTGTTACACATGGGGAAAATATTAAACACCAAACCAAACTCCCAGTGTTCAGTGACTTCACCACTTGACCACTGGTGGGCCCTCATAATGCATATTTCAGAAAGAAAATACTGATGCTTCAGATTTATGTAGCGTATTTGTTAATTTTGCTGAAATCATTAGGCTTTATAACTTCGAGGTTAGGATTATTTATTGTTATAATATGATTGATTTCACCTTTTTGCAAATTGTAATCATGATTTGAAATATTTACAAAACATGCTCTTAAAATTTCTAAATGAAACCTATAGAATTTTATTAAAAGTTTTGAGTTAAATATTTCAAAAAATCTCCACCCTTTTGTAACATTTGATGAATTCATCTACGTCTATTATTTGTTATAATACATCACTACATTATGTATGACCCAAGTTTTCAACCATTTCCTTTATAAATTTTAGAAATGCAATCAAAATTCTTGTTTTCCCTAAGAGAAAACTAAAATTCAGATATCCTCATCATTTTCAGAGTGTTTAGGATTTTATTGAAGGATTTGATAGAAACACAACAATTCAAAATTTACCTAAATAATTTAAAAAGGTGTGGTATTTTTAAATTTGTATTTCTAGTTGTGAAATATTTCTTCACTCCATTAAGTACCAGATTTAAGACCATCATATTTAAGGGAAATTATAAAATGTAAAAATTAATCAATCTGATTTTGGTAGTGCTGCAAGTTTAAAACATAATTTTCTTTTCAAAATCGTAAAAACAACCTTGTATTTAGCGTAAATATATTGAAACACTCAATCGTTTTCGAGGGCAGCTAAAGGTCCCTCCTCATCAGGAGAAAGAAATACCTAGAAAGAAGAAAAATAAAGGGGAAGGAGTCTCAGAAACACGTGGTCCTTATCAGCACTGCACGTGGTTATAACCGGATTTTTAATCAGAGTTACACTGGCCGCCTACTTTTACTGAGCCAGGCTATCTGATCAAACATGTAACACAAAGGACAAGAAAAATTAGCGAAGTTAAAAATAGGGAGCGAGGGGCAACTGCACCTTCACACTCAAAATCTGAACTTCGAATAATGGAAAGCAACCACTGAATGAATTGTTATACCCTCTGGTAGTACCAAACGCGAGGAGGTAACGCCATCTATCGGCAAAATTAACTGAATTAAGATAGTAGAATTTTAAAGGCATTAGGAAGGACTGGATTGGACTTCAAATGATTAACTAAACCTGCTAAATCTTTGTGAATATGAAAAGCCTCAAGAAAATCCAATTCACCTATGGAAGAAGTCTTTTGGATAATTTTTGCAGACCCAAAGTCAAAATTATTGTTAAATGTCCAACTATGATACGCTATTGAAGACTTGTTAATTTCGCCTTTTCTGACATAAGATTCATGTTCCTTGATACTAAACTTCAACACTCTTTTTGTTTGGCCAATATATCTTAAACCACACTGACACGATATACTATAAATTCCCCAAGAATTCAAGACAGAAACGCAATCTTTTAGAATCGAAGGGTGAATTTTATTAATAGGGAAGAAACCGACTTGAAAATTGAATTTCTGGAGAATCCATGCAATTTTATAGCTAACAGAAGGATAAAATGGAAGCACGACAAGGTCATTAATATTATTTCTAACAGTGGAATGTCTTCTTTGATGGGAATCTGAAAATTTTTTAACGGCTTTATCAATAATCACAGGAGAAAATCCACGGTCAATCGCAACTGCTCTCAAATAATTAAGTTCATTGGTAAGCACAGATTTAGAGGAACAAACTTTAAGCACGTGGAATACATAATAGTAAAAAGAAGCCATTTTTTGCTTAACAGGGTGGATGACTTGACATGGGGTGGTAAAAAAACTGCAAAGGGTTTACGGTACACAGTGGTGCTAAAATCAGTTTCATTGCGGATTATAAGAAGATCAAGCAAGGGGAGGGAATTGTTGGATTCAATTTCAAGAGTGAATTGGATGGCTGGATCAATTGAATTCATAATAGATAGAATCTTAGATAAATCCTCTTTATAACCATCAAAAAGTGCGAAAGTGTCGTCAACATACCGAATCCAAAGACAAAAAGATAGTTTATCAAATAATTTCATCTCAAAATAGTGCATATAAATGTCAGCAAGTACCAGACTGAGAGGATTACCCATAGCCAATCCTTCAACTTGACGAAAATATGCATTTTGGAAAACAAAGTGGGTTTGACTCAGAGAGACTTTTTCTTTTATTTATGAATGAAATTTTCTTTTATTTATAAAATCATACATAATGGGGAAAAAGTAGTCACATAGCACTGTTTTATTATTTTCTACCTAATTTTTAACATTTCAGAAGAGGGAATTAATTATAAAATACTGAATATTTCCTAAGAATAAAAATAAAGTAAAATTAGGCAACATACGTAGAAACATGAAAACACATACAGTGTTTACTATTTCAGCAACTAAAATTGTAACTGTTTTAATGAGTACAATTAATTTACAGACACTGAAAATGCTAAACAAACAGAACTATTAACATCTGTTCGAGGAACATTATTTAAATTTATAATAATATGAGATGAGAAAATTTTGATATTAAAAGAGGAATTAATGCCCTTACTAAACTGATTTTTAAAACACATTTAAGAAATGACTACACAAAGAAAGAGGAATTTATTTGTTAAAATTAAATTAAAAAGAATTGTATAAAAAAATATATAACAGTGTAAGATTTTTCTGCTTTGTATCATTTATATATTAGACACTGCATTTTACATATATGTTTAGACTCCACCCGTTAAACTAAATTTGCCTTAATTTAATTTGATGTATAGTTTCCAGTCACGATTAGACGTTAAAATAATTCAAAACATTAACTTATCTTAGAAATGAAATTATGATGAATAATTTGACAGATATAATATACACATATCTTAAAATTTATCATTTTATATGATATTCAGTATGATTATAGATGCACAGACTTTTATGTCTTTTATTCAGTGTTTTATGTTTTAATGCTTTAAATTTTTGGCAACAAAAATCATTATTTAAAGTACATCAGTCAGAAAGTATATATATATATAATTTTCGGATGAATATTATTAATAAAAAAAACTTTACCATAGTTCATCAGCTGATTTTAAATACAGAAATGCAAGGGTTTTCAAGTGGAAGGAGGACTAATTGAGGCTGATGTATTTTTCTCTTCAGAAGAAAATACATCAGCCTCAATTACAGTCCTCCTTCCACTTACATCAGATTAAATTCTGATGTAAGTGAATTTAATTTAATCTGATGTTCTTCATTACATCAGATTAAATTAAATTCCTCTTCTTTATTTTTCTGGTTTTGTTATATATTTTCAGGTTTTAATTTTACATTTCTTTAATTCTTACTTTGTATATTTGCAGGATATTTTGAAATTTATTGATATTGAATTTCACTTTTCTTTGGGTCTTTGTGTAAAACAGGTTCTAAATTTCTTACTTTCTGTCCACATACATATATAGAAGTAAAATGTCAATATTACAAGATTTATTTACACTAATACACTGCTCGACATTGAAAATGCAACACCAAGAAGGAGTGGTCAGAAAGTGACGAAATTTATAAAAAAGACAGAGACAGCAAGCAACAATAAGATCTTTATTTCAAAATGATAGTCAGAATACAAAGCGAGAGCGGCGGCGGCTCAGTAGGATGTAGGATCACCACGAATAGCGATGCACGAAGAAAGACGTCTAGGCATAGAGTCAATAGGACTGTGGATGGTGTCCTGAGGGATGGCTCTCCATTCCCTTTCAACCATTTGCCAACAGTTCGTCTTCTGAACGAGGCAGGGGCAGAGTCTGCAAACGGTGTCCTATCACATCCCACACATGCTCGATTGGTGACAGATCAGAAGAGTACAGTGGCCAGGGAAGCATCTATATACTCTTGCAGAGCATGTTGGTAGATGCGAACACTGTGTGATCGGGCGTTATCCTGCTGAAAAATTGCATTAGGCAGCCCCAGAAGGTAGGGGATTACCACCGGCCGCAGTACGTTATCCAAGTATCATTGGGTCCTGAATATGAACTAGAGATGACCTGGAATCATAGGCAATAGCGCCCCAAACCATTATGCTACGTTGTCGCATTGTGGAACATTCCACAGTTCCCGCTGGATTAGATCTGTCTTCACGTCAACGCCACACACGTATGCGGCGATTGTCACTGGATAAACAGAAGCGTGACTCATCTGAGAACACGACGTTTTGCCATTCTGTCATCCACATCGCTCCAGTCTGGCACCATTCTAAACCTTGGCGTCTATGCTGTGGGGTCAATGGCAGTCTTCTTAACAGACGCCATGAGTGCAGGCCACGTTCAACCAGTTGACGGAAAATGGTTCTGGTCAACACGGGAACATCCAGGGTATCTTGCACATGCTGCAGAATCACGGTACAAAAGACTTGTGGGATTGTGGGACTGCCACAGCTTGTTGGCTGATGTGTCGATCCACGTGTGCTGATGTCACTCTGGCTGCACCTACACCCCTCCTTCTTCCCACATTTCTTTATTCCAACCATGTTCGCCATAGCCGATGTACCGTGCTTGCATCCATGTGGGTATCAGCTGCGGTTTGACGTAAGGACCAACCCGCCCTACTTAGTCCGATCATCATACCCCTCGTAAAATCATCTATCTGCTGGAAGTGCCTTCATTGATGGCAGCCTGGAATTCTCTCCTATTACACGTATCCTCTGGGACAAAAACCAATTTTCTTCGAAAATTCGTCTGGTTAATGACACGAATATTGCCCATTCTGCACATTCCTTCTCTAATATCTTACTTCATGTGCGTCGGAGAGCTGTGCATTTCACATCATTCGCATAACTCAGTGACGTGCGTCTACTCTAAAATTTGCATAAATTTCTGACCACTCCTTCTTGGTGTTGCATTTTCAATGTGGAGCAGTGTAAATCTTCTAATACTGACATTTTACTTATTTACATATTGCAGATCATAGCAAAAAAAAATGAACAATAACAATAATAATTTATTACCAAATTCACAATTTACAGAAAAAAAATCAGTTTTCAGAAATTTTAGACCTAAATTATCAAAGACATTAAAAAAATGATTTAAGCGAGAACCTTGAAAAATTTCCCTAAAGCTATGTAGTCTAATCCATCTGAGCAATTGAAAACAACACACTGCTTTGCAACTGCCTTTGCTAGATCCTTAGTTGTTTCTGTTTTACCAGTACCAGCTGGACCTTCAGGTGCTCCACCAAGATGAAGATTAAGAGCTCCATACAAAGTACGATAACAACGATCCGTCAATGGTGTTATAACTAAGCGTCCAGAATTTCCTAAATATTCATATCCATAATCCAGATAGGAATTGATCATACGTGTGGTCATGTTATTATCCTAAACAACAAAAAGTAGAGGGTATAAATAAAAAAAAATATAAATAATTACAGAAATAAACTCTGTAAATTCAGTACATCAAACACTAAGAATCGAGCTATTTGTTGATTACTTTTTAAGTGCATCAGTAATTTAATTAAATTCAAACTCAGCAGTTTTTCCAACTTAGTAATAGTTATAACTGTCATGTACTTTAAAAACTTAAAAATTCCAATTTATATATTGTCTTAGTTTGCTGCTAAGATGGATTTACCATTCTACAATATTTTCTTTTCTTTCATATTAAGGTCCTTGGTTTCAAATGAATTTATGACAATGCTACCGTTATACCACAAAGGCATGCTGGAAGAAAGGAGAAAATATCTTATAAATCTAGTTTTTTTTTCCCCCCTCATTTGAAGATCTATTTTTACCCTTTTTTGACATGATATGTTTATATAATAATAAAACTGTTTCTACTACAGTCAAAAGTCGTTAATTCGGACACCCATAATCCGGACCTCAAAGCTACAAACTTTCTGCGCATGTGTCGCATTGACTTTTAAGGCTGCGAATATGCGTGTGCGCATGCGCGTAATACGTTTACGCTAGCGCGTTTAATGTATAACAGACGGTATAAGCTAAGCTAAAACTATCTAATTCAGTTAATGTTTCAGATTGCGTTGTTCCTTAATCTTCAAATTGGATCTGGCTTATTATTTTTTGCAGACTGTTAAAGCAATTTTATAAAAGTAAGCTTGAACTTTCGATTATGTCAAATAGAATTTTTGATATATATTTACTAATATGTAAAGGACCTACAAAGCAAATGTATGTTTAGAAGTCCATTAAACAAAAAGTGGAATTGCTACAAAAAATGGATAAAGACATAGCCTTCATTTCTCAAACCATTCCAAAATCTGTTTATCAATTTCACGCTGCTCTGGAGCCTGGGGGGGGACGCCGAAACGCCGCAGCACGCAATGAATTGGAAGTTAATCTGTCAGCACTATCCTTATCTTCAGGGCAGATGTTTTTATATTATTTGGCTTATAATTCTTTACTAAATGTAGTATTTAATCTCGATGTACTCCGTCTTTGATATGATTTAAATTAAGTTCCTCGTCATTATAATTCGCTTCCGATAGTGAAGAAAGTGACCCAGAGGTTATTGAAAGTGAAAAAATTTCGATTGACAAATTAGTCGGTATTCTCGACACAGCAATTATAGGACTTTAACAGTGGAACTTTGTAACTGAAGAAGAAATTATGTCTGTTTATAGAATTAAAGAGAAAGTATTATCACATAAAACAAAGCAACTTAAACAATTTACATTGAAAGAAATGTTTAATAAAGTAAACAAATAAATATTAAGCTTTTTTTTTTTTTTTTTTTTTGTAAATTTTGATACCGTTTAGATCATAATTGTTCTTTATTTCATAAATTACAGTTTCATATTTTTAATTTTATAATTTCTGCATGCCATCTTACCAGATTTAAACTGATGATCTATAATCCGGAAAAATCGATAACCTAGAATCGCCGAAGTCCCGACGAGTCTGGATTAACGACTTTTGACTGTATATTATTATAATACAATACAGTTCAAATATACTGCTTAATATATATATATATATACCCAGGCATACACAAACATATATCAATATACACTTATACTATATTTATGTAGTAAATTGTATTAAATAAGGAAGCATAGGAAGCCTATTTCTCTTTTTATTTACAGCTAAAATTATTTTGAAAATTATAAAATTACTTACGATCCAATAATAACGCAACTGACTCAGCCATGCAAAATCTTCATCAGATGTTACTTTAGCGTTGCATAAATATTCAACAACATCCCTGGCATGAACATCTAAAACAACTAATGCTCCAAGAGTGATTCGATTCTGCTTTGAAAGCTTCCCTCTAACTAAATTGACAATTTTTTCGATCTGCTCATTATTCAGTTGAAGGTATTGTTCTAATGCCTAGAAAGAAAGAAATAATATTAAAATAATCTCTCTTTAATATTTTTTATGAAATTTTATGCCCAAAGTTTCAAAACTTCATGAAATGACTGACAATTTGAGCATTTTCTGGCTAACTCTAAGTTTAGCCATGAGAAACTTTTGTTGCCAAAACCTGAAGTACTGGCAAATTATTGCATATTTCAGAATTTGTTGAGTAAAATGTGGTCGGATATTTCATAAAATGGTTAAATGTTTAGTTTACTTCCATTCCAATAAAAATGAGAGAAAAAAGATACCTCAAGAGGAAGAAAATAAGCGAATTTTTTTATATTCAGAAGAAACTACTACAAATTGCTGCTCTTTCATATACTATATCAGAGAAATAATCGACTAATAAATAATTTGTTTTGAATTCTATTCATAGACAAAGGAATAGGAATCATAAGAGAACCACAGGAACTATAATGCCATACACATTATCCATTAAGAATAAGTATAAAACAGGAATTTCCTTGACTGAATGCAACAAATATCAGTAAAGTGAAAGGTTAAGTTTGGTTACAAAGTGAAGGTTAATTTGATTATGAGGAGGTATTACCAATCAAACAAGAAATTATACATTATGCAGTCTAAAGGGATATTTAAAAGGATATAGCATAAAATAAACTCCATAACCTTAACTCAAAAATTATTTGGAAAACTATGGAAATTAAGACAACATCAGAAAACTGAGCTTTCGTTTGACATGGCTTACATGAAAGATATGAAAACTAACCAATTTTCTAATAAAAATCATAATTATTCATTGAATCTGTATCGCAAAATTCATATTGAAAGTCCTACAACAAGTTAGATTCAACCTTAATTACAGAATCAAAGTAAACTACTAAAATCAGTCTCATACTTTCATAAAATTAGGTCTGTTGAATAAAACTATTATTAAATGTTGCACTTCAAATTAATTTGCTTACTTGAAGATTATTTATTGTTATACATATATTCCTTGAAGGTTATTCTTTGTTTACGTACATTCTTTTCAGGTTATAAAAGAAAAATCAATATAATTTATGGAAAATTACATATTTTTAAAACAAAATCAAAAGAACGTGTCATAAATGCAACATTTAATGAAGATGCATTTATGTCATGCAAAATAGATGCCAATCTGAGAAATTTTATTCTGTATATAATAGCCACACAAATGGCACACAACACACATTTAGAATGTTGCATTTACAGTATGCAAATTTTAAACTGCCATGATGCACTTAAAATATATACATACAATTCTGAATAAGACACAACTTTTTTTTTGGACTTATGTAAGTAAGAAGTACAGCCAGAGGGCACCTGTATCACTTCAGTTTGTTGCCAGCACAAGTGCCAAGAGGTTCAGATAAGCTTTAGCCACTGACAGAAGCAGATGCACTTTAACTCCAGAAGCAAAGCCTATGGACTTTGTAATCACAAAGCAGAGAACCCTATTAGCAAACCTTCGAAAAGTGTTAGATTAACGGAGCTATCCCAGTTATATAATAGTGTCCTGCCAGAGTTTGCAAATTACTGAGATGATTAACTCTAAGGACTCTGTATGAACTTTTTATGGACTGTCATTCTTGGGGGTCTCACCAGCATCTATGTCAATACAGTACAACGTCCGTAATCCAGACTTGTCGGGACTTCAGCGATTCCGGATTAAGGGTTTTTCCAGATTATAGATCATTAATTTAAATTTGGTAAGATGGCATGCAGAAATTATACAATTAAAAATATGAAACCTTAATTTATGAAATAAAGAGAATTATGATCTAAAGGGTATCAAAATTTACAAAAAAAAAAAAAAATCTTAATATTTATTTGTTTATTTTATTAAACATTTCTTTCAATGCAAGTTGTTTACGTTGCTTCTTTTTTGTGCTAACACTTTCTCTTTAATTCTATAAACAGGCATAATTTCTTGTTCAGTTACAAAGTTCTACTGTTCAAGTCCTGTAATTACTGTGCCGAGAATACCGACTAACTTATCAATCAAAATTTTTTCATTTTCACTAACCTCTCTGTCACTTTCTTCATGCCTTTATTAATTTTTTGCAGCAATTCCACTTTTTGTTTGATTGACATTGAAACATGCTTTTGCTTTGTAGATCCTTTTGGCAGCTCCAGAATTGGAAACTCATTTTGACATAATCGAAAGTTAAAGCTTAATTTTTATAAAATTGCTCTAACAGTCTGCAAAAAATAATAAGTCGAATCTAATTAGAAGATTAAGGAACAGCGCAATCTGCAACATTAACTGAAATGGATAATTAGATAATCTTAACCTAGCTTATACTGTCCGTTATGCATTAAACGCGCAAGCATAAACATATTATGCACATGCGTAAACCCATTATGCATTTATGCATGCGCATAAAGTTTGTAGCTTTGAGGTCCAGATTATTGACGTCCGGATTAAAGACTTTGTACTGTATTATATCTTATCAGTTTTCTAATTCATTATAATAGCTTAGTAATAAAGTACTATATAGTTTATACCTTCATTTTGTGCTCTAGTCAACCATACCATACAAGTATTACTTCATCGATTGTGAAAGTTGGCTATTATTGAATCACGAAAATTGGTGGAAATCCTGCCGAAATTGTGCAAATGGTTCTTGTAAAATTTGAAGGAACTCACACCTCTCTGTTTAATAAACAATTAGTATTCAATCCACATCACTTTTGTGCTCTGTAAAATTGCATTTGTTGATTTCCATTGTTTCGCTAGGCCCTCCAATTTTACCAAAAGTGCTGTTTAGAATGCTATGAGAATAAACTTACTGTAGGTAATTGTTCCAATTTCTTATTGTTTTGTCAGCCATATTTAGCTAACCATATCATGTCCATTAATACATAACTTTTTAATAGCTAGATACCTTAATTTTGAAAATAATTCACTGCTTGCTGGTAGAAGGCAGTTTCTCAATTTTAATAATTCTTTCAAAATGGAAGAAAAAAATATGTAATAACAGTTCATTTATATCCTTGTTCATAAATATAAAAGGCGGCTTACCAAAAATCAATCAAAATTGCATTTAAGAAAAGTGCAGATGTTATGATTGTGTTATTAGGCCATGTTCATTCATAATTAGATCTAAATCATACTGGTTGGTTGGTGACAGTTTCACGGTCGATGGTATAATATTTAAGTACAATTTTTTAAAAAAAATTTGCCTACCTGCCTTGTTATTTTCATAAATATATCAGCTTTGTTCCCTTTTTAATAAAAGCTATAAATATACTCATTCAGCAGTCTATCATAAATTACTTTTTATAATCTGTGATCTTTATTAGAAACAAGTTTAAAGGCCTTTATTCTTATTTTCTTAAAAAAAAAAAAAAAAAAAAAAATCCTGTCATGTTGCAAGGAATGCATGGAAACTTTTGTTTGAAACTGTGGCTGTCATTTGCAAGAGATAAAGTGTCTAAATTTCAAATATATATTTACTTAATTGAAAAAGATACTACTTCAGATGACTCAAGATATTTTAACCCTTTCGTGTCTAACAGGACACATACGTCCCAAACAAATTTCAAAAAATACTCTTGGGATAGAAGCGCTTCTCTGTCTAATGGGAGACTTTCCCACCAGTCCTGCCAATATTTTTGAAAGTATTTTCATTCACAGAACATAGATGGCACTACCGTACATAATGCAATTCCCGCATTTTTGAAGTATTGTAGCAGCTCATTACATACTCTACGAACGTAAATAGTTTAGTTTTGGAAAATACTGGCTATTTTCGATTAAATTTTGATTTATCCCTAAATCTAAGGCCAGATAAGTTACTCACGAAGCAGATTACCTCTAATAAACTGGTAAGTGGCAAAGTTTTACTTCCGTTTTTATTATCGGGACATATGTGTCCCTCTCGTCTTGGATAGTGGGAACACATTGTCCCAAAAGTCCTATGTGATAATTTCTCTAGATATTATATTTTTCGGTTACTTTTGAAATAGATGCTTATTATTTTTAATTTAGGCACATATTAATTCAATCTAAAATGACTCGACGCCGGGGAGACTTACTAATGAAGAAATCAAAAACAATTTTAGAAGAGTCAGATGACGAAGATGTTGATTTGGAATGATGAAATAGATGATCCCGATTTTCAAGATCCAACACACAATTTGCAGTACTCTCATTCCAATTCAGGCGAGCGTGTGAAATGGTTATATCGATCATGATACCATTTCCCTAAAATACAAAGAACAGCGATGATGCTTTGAGTGATACTGATACGGCATCACTTTCATCAGTTGATGAGATACCATCAGCTAATGCTTTCAGGCTACAAACCAATCTTATGGTTTCATGCAGATTCAACTTTCCAATCTCGAATGACAATTCCAGCAGAGTCATCGCCCAGTTTGTTATTCAACTTAAATCGTTCAGCTACTGAATTGGACGTGTTTCTCAAGATATTTCCAAAAAGTCTTATGATTTGGATCTCTCAATGCACAAAACCAATGACTCGAAAAAGTAGGACAAACAATTCACCCTACAGACCCCTCTGAAATTATGCTTGTCCTTGGATGCAAATGCTTGTCATGTCTTACAATAGGGAGCCGAAATTCTCTCATTATTGGTCATCTAATTGGTCCTTCTTTGGGAAACGTAGCAATAAAAAATGCTATTTCAAGAGACAGATGTAAAACGTTGCTGTCGAAAACTATATTTTGCTGCACCAGAAATCCAGAAAATGCAAGTAAAACATAATTATATTGACAAGGTTGTTTTGTGCCTGAAACAAACCTTCAAACAGTGCCGAAGCGAAAGCTCATATTAAGCTATTGATGAATCAATGTGACGAAATTCAAGGGACGTTCAATCCCTCAAACAATATATGCCGATGAAACCTGTGAAAAGAGGGATAAAAATTTGGCAGCGATCTGATTCAAAAACAGGATATGTATATGACATGAACATTTATTCCGGAAAAGAAACGGGTGAATTCATGTTCAAGACACACTCGGGGAACGGGTAGTATCAAAGCTAACGGAGACAATCCCAGGTAAAAGACGTGATGCTTGCGGTGACTGATTTTTTACAAGTGTGCACCTGATGGAAACACTGAAATTTCCTGCTGTTTGGTAATGCATCAAGACACGAAAGATGCCTAATTTTGGAAAAAATCTAAGCAAAAGGGGTGAGGCTGAGTTTCTCGTAACTAAAATGGAAGGTGTGCGAGGTGGCTTGATTCAAAGGAAGTGATGATGCTAAGTAATTGCCACGAAAGCTAAATACACAAAAGTAAATCGCACCATGAAAGATGGAAGCAAAGAAGAAATTTGAGTGCCCTGTGGCAATCGAATTCTACAACAAAATCATGGGAGGTGTAGACCTTGCAGATCCAAATGGCAAATGTCTATGAATTAGATCGAAAAATCTTGCAAGTGGTGGAAAAAAGTATTTTTTCGCCTATTGATGAGCGCAGTGGTCAACTTATGGATTGCGTACTGCGAACTCAAACATCGAAAAAACCCACTTCTTGATTTCATTGTACCTCTTGCAGAAGCCTTGATGGCGTCCGGAAAGCTCAACACACAGTATCAATGCCGTAGAGGAACTGGATGCCCATCCAAAATATCACGAAGTTAGTTGTTAGTGACTCAATGTTAGTGACCATCTGCCAGTAACAACAAAAACACGATGGCGGTGCCGTAAATGTGCACAACAAAAGAAGGAATCGCGCACTAAAATAATGTGCACGATGTGTAATGTCGCATTGTGCATTGATTGTTTCAAACCATACCATTCGTAATTAAATTTTTATGACTAGAAAATCATTGGTTTCTTTACAAATTATCATGAAGACTACTGGGACACAATGTCCCAGAGGTCAGGACTGATGGGACATATATGTCCCGGTCCTAAATCAGTGTTCAAAATTTTTCTAAAAATATAACATCTTAATTTTTAGCATTCTAGAGTGCCCTACTCATAGTTTATGTTATCAAAATTGTTCTGCTGTAAAAAAAAAAAAAAAAATCTCGTCGCGAAAGGGTTAATGTTTAAATTCTTTACACTGGACATTTCTGAAAGAATGAGTAAATTGTTTAGCAAAAATTTAAAATTTACTGAAACTGTAGCCCTATTCAGAATTCTTAATGTATCTTAATACAAAATAAATATTTCATAGACGTGGAAACATGACCTGATTCTCTTTTCCTCGAGTACTGAGATTTTTGTTTCCCTGGTTTGTTAAGACTTTCATTTAGAATCCAAATTTCTTTCTCATATGCATAAATATGATGTAAGAGCCTTATCTTACTGCAACACTATTAGTTTCAGATACTTAACTTTTTTTACAGCCAGAATCTTCAAACAAAGTTCTTGTTTAGGATTATAGTTATGTTATTTTTCCAGTAAAAATGAATTCAAACAGACCTTTGGAAATTCATCTACTCTGCTTCAGAAGTATTAAATTATGTTTCAGAACAATTTGTATGAGCTCACTTAAATTAATATTTTGCTTCTGACATTATAATTCTAAATTGCATACACATAGACTTTTTTTTATAAACAGACCTTTTGACCTGCTTTTATTGCTTCATGCATTTCTGCAGTCCAGTAGTTTTGTGAGCAGCAAAGAACAGCTTGGCCTGGCCATTCAAGAACCCATTCTTCACGAGGTTTAGATGAATAGCCTTCTAAGGAATCAGAAACTACCTGCGCAGAAAATACAGATGTAAATTTATTTTATGACTGAAACAGAAATAATTGAATTTCAATACACTAACATTTCATAAAAAGATATGATCAAATAAAAATTTTTTAAGGAATTCTATGCATTCTCTTTAATATTTAAAATAAATTATCTTTGCTATTAAAATCCTAAAAATATGAGATAGATTTTTATGAAAATATTAATAATTTTTAATAGTAAAATTGAGAAAATAAGCACTCATTAATTACTAACAGATGAGATATATTTGGAGTGATTTTTTGATAAGTTACTAATGCAACAAAATATCAAATGTTAGTGATTAAATGACATTTTAATGTGAATAAAAATATTTAAATTAATCTTAATATTTTCTTAGTAAATTCAAAATTTAATCCACGGAAAGAAAACAATATTTTTATTTACTTTATTTTAACATATCCTGTAAGGTTCTTATTTTAAACAAAACAGGTATGATTTTGCAAAATTCTTTTTTTTTTCCTTCCATATTCCTTACCACAATGCAAATTAGGTTGTAATGTACTTGAGATTTTTTAATCTTAGTTTATACCTTCTTATGCCACAGACCTTCTGGCATTCGTGCTACATGGTTAGATTTTCTGCCAGATAAATTTCTGCTAGTTAAATGCAATTACCTTGGCTTTGCATCCTTTAGCAGATAACACTTTAAACTTAACATATCATTAGATTAACTGAGCTAGCTTATACCTTTAACTTCATAGTCTTAGACCTATATATCAACATTTAACTTTATTGGATTGTTCTTATTTAACTTGTATTGCCCCAAGCAGTACTTATCTGTAGCAAAAGCTGTACTCTGTTTTGTTAGAAGCTCATTTTGTAAAAGATTGTTTAAAACCATTATAAGTTTTGTCATGCTATTTCAAATAAAGTCATAAACTCTATACAAGTAAGGTTATATATACTTACCTAGTAAGGTTCCAGCTAACTAACCTTATAACCTTTTAAATAGACTTGGTTAAAATTTGTTGAAAATGCAGTGAATATAAGGATTCAGTTACAAATAAAACAATCTGGTTACTCAACACTTTAAGAAAGAAAACTAGATTTTCTTTCCTGAAATAAACTACCTAGAGTTTTGTAGGATATTCTAAGGAGGGAGAGAATAAGGTAATTCAAGATGTGGCATACTACAGCAATTTTCAAATATTTTGACTTATGAAGCCCTTTCTAGAATGAGCTCCATTAGCAAAGCCTTAACTTAGGCCTATCCTATGTCTTACAAATTAATGATGTTTAAGAATTTTATTACATAGGCAATTTAGATTAGGTTACTTGATGTCACGTGACAAAGCATGCAAGAGCTATCTGCCTATTACATTAGTAGGTTTGCTTTGGCTTGATTTAGTTGACAAAGCACACTAAGGCTATCTGCATAAAGGAAGGTATGCCTTCATGGAGGACTCATATTTTAAAATTTCAACTTTACCATAATATCTTATTTTATTCTCAACATGATATTACCAGTTCTCAATGTGTTTAGACATACATAAAGGTTCTTTCAAAGTTCATTAAGACATACCAGTATGTGCTACAACAAATATTTTATGTTATTCCCGAGAGCATCATTAAAGCCACTACAATAAATTCAGTTTCTGCAAGTTAATCCTTATATGCATTCAAATACATATTTGCTCATTACTTGTTATTTGGCATTTATATTACTTTACTTTACAGAAAACAGTTATAGTGCAATTTTATTATCAATTCTAGTGCACTGCAGGCCTAAATTAAGATAAAACATTAAAAACAAAATCATAAAATCATTTAATGAGCTACCAGTAATTACTTTTTTAGCACACATCAACACCACAAGACAACCATCTTAGTGCGTAGCACAGCAGAAGGAACTTATGGTGGTTCCTCAAGTTTTTTATACATTGGTATACAGAGTCTGCTTTTAAGAGATTGTGATTTAATACCATTTATTATTTTTATTTATCATCTTTATTAATGAAAATTCACTAGTTACATAAAACTCATAATAAAATCAAATGCACAAAAGACTTACAGAAGAATTCCTAAGAAATCATGATATTATCACTATGAATTTACTCCAAAACAACAAACCATTTATTTTAGTTTCAAAAAGCTTTGAGCAGATTCCAGGAATTCTCAAAAGACTGAGAAGGAATAAGAAATTTCTCAAATGTGCAGATCCAAGTAATGGCCTGTAACATGAGAACACGAAATTCACAGCACATTTCAGTGTTCAGAATGTAATTTCTAAATTTCTTGTTTCGATTTCACTTGTCTTATTCTGTAATTTCACTCAGTTTCTACTTACTTTATTTTTTTGGAGTGATCGAGAACCACACGCAGGGCCCTACATGGCAGAATTTTTAAATATTTTGATTATGGAGAAATATTTTGATTCCTTTTATTTAGAATGAAAGCATAATGTTTAAAATAAATCCAACATGCTAAACATCTAACCACAACATGCTAAATATCAGATTCAATTTGGTACAAACACAGACGCTAAATTCAATATGGTGAATTTCCACCTTCAGAGAATTTTTTTTGGAACATCTATAGGTAGTACATTTCTAGAATTAATTGGATGAATAAATTTTATGAAAATGAATGCTTTTACTCTAAAATAAAATAACAGAATAAAAGTAGAGCACAAAGTGATATAATTAGCATAATTTTAAGCTGAATAATGATAGAGAAGCAAAGAAAGTTATATGGATAAACAACTGAAATAATTGGGGGGGGTGAAGTGTTACTCAGACAACAGTTATAAAGTTTTTACTTTATAGCATATTCAGAAAGTCAGATAATTTTCCAATTGGTTTACATGAATATTAAATAGAATTTAAACAGAAATTATTTTTAAGTAACAAAATCTGTCCTATTTATAATTAATGAATATGCTTGCTCTAGTACATTCTAGCAATTATATCCACATTACTAGCAATTATATTGTATTAAAAAGATAATTATAAAACAAGATATGATTTAATTAGATGAAATTCATTAACTGTTGGAAAGAATTTAAAGGATAAGAATTACTAAATTCATAAAAGATCTTTCAAGCGAAATTGCTTTGTTTTTACATTATGCACAGAAATTCTCAAGAAAACATCAGTGTAACCCAATCCATTACACATTAAATTCTAAACTCAAAATACAACTAACACAATTTTTTAAATTCAGCCATTTGGTCCTTGGCAAAGTTATTAAAATTTAAACTAAAATATTTAATTCAAGGTACTTCTGTAAGATTAAATAACATAAAGTTTATATACATGAGAAATTTAAAATGTGAAATCGCTTCACTAATTAAAACATTAGAGTATGTCCATTTAGGCTAAGTACATTATTATATGAAGTAATACTATTAATTTAACTTTAAAATATCTTTTGAATAAGTATAACAGCAGAATGCAAGAGAAAGCATATTTTCCTCTGTAATGTTTTAATATTTGTAATAAATAAATAAGATAAAATTTAGATTTCATAACACATATAAGTGAAATTCAATTATTACACCTTTTTAATGCTTGAAAGCATATAGGATTCAAGTTCCAAAAGCCATTTCTCAACTTGACCTCTAGCGCTGGCAACAGATATAATACCAGTTAATTCAATCACCTCTCCCTCACTGCTTTCCATATGGGTAATGTCTAAGTTGTCTAAAAATTTGAGCTTTGCAATGCCCTCAAAGCACTTTTTCAAATGTGGTTGAACCCTGTGAAAAAGCATAAATTATTACATCAAATATAAACAAAAGTGGAAAATTAATTTTCAATTTCTTTTAATTATATATATAGAGAGAGAAGAGATATAGAGAGAGAAAGATATATATAGAGATGATATATATATATATATAATATATATATATATATATAGAAAGAGATTCTCTGTATTATATATATATATATATATATATATATATATATAGAGAAGAGATTCTCTGTATTCCTATTATACAGCATTATGCACTTATGTATTAAAATAAAAAACTAAACAAAAAATATTTAAACAAATGAAATTAAAAAAATAAATTATTAAAATTAATTAACTTTGGCTTATTAACTTAGGCCTATCCTATGTCACAAATTAATAATGTTTAACTATAAGAATTTCATTACATGGATAATTTAGGTTAGATTATATGAATAAGCAAAGCACACTCGAGGGATATCTGTCTAAATGGAGGGATGCCTTCATGGAGGGCTTCTTCAGATAGACTGGTGTTATACACATTACACATAGAGAAAACCATGAAAATATCCTTGTAGCCAGCCCGTTTGCCTGGAATTTTCACATTTTAGGTAGAATATGAGTTATATCTATAGTTTAGAGCAATTACAGCAAACTGTAACATTTGTTTTGAGAAAAATTGTTTACATGATTATTTTACTGAACTTGATTTGCTTATAACTTCAAATTTTGGCCTACTTTAATTAAAGATGAAAATAATATAATGATATGAACATAAATTAAACAAAATATTTAAAAATCTACTAATTTATAAGAAAATCTCTAATTACACATTATATGGTTCAGAGAGCATAGAAATTGCAATTTTGAAAAGTTTCTTTAAAACAATTAAATAAGAACTGTAACATGTAAGGCTGTAAAGTCACTAAGATTATAATAATATTAAGGCTACATGAAAATATTTAATTCAGTGAAGAGATATAACATAGAAAAAAAAATTAGCAAAAATTTTATACTTTTTGGGATCTTTAGTCTCTGATAATATTTCAAGTAATTCATCATTTGAGAGGAAGAAAAATCTTGGAAAGAACAGACGCTTTTTTTCCAAATAATCATTAAGACCCTAGAAAAAAAAGATAGACTAAGCAACTAATAATAAACTGCTTTTTTTAAAAAAGAAACATTTAAACAAAGGTAATTTTAAATGAAAGGAAAGTTTTAACCTTCTAAACAATAATATCTATATCACAAAATTATACACATATTATGGAATAGAAATAGAGCTTAGTTTTATAGTGGAAAAAAAATTGGCTTGTCATTAATTATGCATTTGGTAATCCATTTTTATTTTACAATGATTACAAAATGCATTAAATGGTATTAAAATATTCAGACCTTCTACATATGTGGTGCATTCTGTATCAACACACATAAAAAATATTGAATTAGTTTCAATAAAATAAGTAGTTTGTCAATTAAAAAAAAGGAACTACAAATTTTGTTGTTGGAAATACGTATGTAAGACAATAATTTAAGAAAACATATTCCACAGCCATTTATTATTGTGAACACTTTATATAACAGGGCTGGTCAAACTTCATGGCAAAAGGAGCCGCATGTCAGAATCCTGGAAAGTTTGAAAACAACATCTATGCTGGATAACTCTGAATTTTTATCATTTTTAAAAATACTGAGATAGGTTTTGAATAAATAAAAATATTTGAAATAAATAAATAACATTATGGTTGCACTATATGTAAATTAATAATTATTTTCTATATTCGGGAAACAATGCTCTCAAAATATACAAATTTGAAACTACTGTAAAATGTATCTGAGTGCTCTCTTTTATCAGATAAAAACATAGCACTTTCTACCGGTTCCCATCTTTTGTCTAATAGTTACCTCCAGTTATAATTGTTGACAAGTTTTCCTAGAGTAAACTAGTGGGCAAGCCCGCCAGCTGAGCGGGCTGAAGCCCGCTATTCATTGTTCATGTGTATAAGAGTTCCCATTGTAATTTCATAGGCCAATCAAACGTTAGTATAGGAGAGTGAGGGCCACAGACATTAAAGAAAGAAAACAAATTACCATACAAATCACTAGTTTAATATATCACCTTATTCTACCATCTAGAAATCAACGTGATGATTGGCACTGCTTTTTTGATACAATGCCCACTGTAATTTCAGTAAGGCAAAGTCTCAGGCTCGATTCCAGTGTAGCACTTTTAATGCTATTTCTCGTTTTTGATTTAATTTGTTTGAGAGCAGAAAAAGCACTTTCATGCACATATGTACTGCCAAATAGCGATAACATTTGAAAAGAGAATTTATGCAGTTTGGGAAAATGTTCTTTAGAAATAAGTTTCCAGGAATGTTCAGTGACATCACACGCTTTTTAGTTTGGTAGAATGGATCTGCCTGCCCCCCCCCCCCCCCCCCCCCCCCCCCCCCCCCCCCCCCCCCCCCCCCCCCCCACCCCCCCCCCCCCCCCCCCCCCCCCCCGATCACAAATTTCCATTTTAAGGTCACGAGACACCTCACTTACTTCAATCTCTATAAGGTTGTTTAACAACGAAAGTTTTGTTTTTAGGGAGCCAAAATCCTGGAACTCTTTCTTGATATCAATAATTATTTCATGAAACATACTAAAATTTGTGTCATTTTCTTCTTTCAGCAGCTGACAAAATGGGAAGTGTGCCATATTATTTGCCTTCAGAGCAATTTGCATAGCATGAATTTTTTTTGCAAAAGCCTTCAATATGTCCATAAAGCTGGGATATATTTTGTTTTCTGCCTTGTAGTTTAACTTTTAAGCATTTAGATGGGCTGTTGAATCTGTCACCATAATCAGCATCCAAATTGTCCATAAATGTAATAAATGTTCTCTGTCTCTGGGCTTTCCCTCTCTTTATTAAATTTATAATATTTACCAACAGTTTTCATTGTCTCACTGAGCCTTATAATTTTTTATTATTTTAATTATTATATTTAATATAAATATTTATATTTGTTATTTAAAGCAGGGTCTTTTGTTTTTCTAAATGTTTAACTAACACTTTTTTTTCCAATAAGAAGGGCAAATGCCAACAAAATGAAAAAGAGGGCTGCATGCAGCCCACAGGACACGGCTTGGACCATGCTGTATTAGATGGATCCAGGCTTGTGCATCCTTTGGTCTCTCTTTTCTTTCTTCCAAGGATGGAACTTCCCAAACCTCATACCTGAAAATTTCAAAATGATTTACCATTCCAGAACTTGAATCTTACCACTTTTTTCATTATTTGAATACTAAACTCAGAATTCTTAAACCCTAATATCTCAAATGATTAGTTTTATTAATGCTAAATAGAAGCAATCATTAAAAAAAAATGCTGTTGTTATAATTTTAGTGATACCTGAAACACCAATATCTCTTCATGACAGCCCTGACTAACACAGTTTCAGTGTGGGTAAAGAAATCCAGCAAAAGGTACCCAAATTTTCAAGCAATGGCTGTACAGAGTTTAATCAAAAATTCTAGAATCATCTCAATAATTCTAAACATAAAAATGGTAAATCTAGCGAATCATGCCATGGTATACAAATGCTGCATCACACACATGACCTGTAATTGCATCTCAGTTGAACTATTCTGCCAGGGCTATCAAATTTTGAACTGTTACTCAAATTTTGTTGACAAAGTGAAGCTCAAAATTCAATAGTTTATTTACATATATTGTTTCTTTTGTAGCTTTTTAATAAATATAGGTGAATTTTTTAAACTTTTATTATCAAATTTACTTTTCACTAAAATTATATTTTAAATTTTGTTTCATTTTAAAACATATGGAGCAAATGGTTTCACATGGAGCAAAAGCATTCTTCCCTTATCATTATTCTTATTTGAAAGTTTTATAAAATTTAGGATTCAATTTACCCTTACATTTTTTCAATGCAACTTACACAAACTATATATATTTAATAAGATATCAATAAGATTTGAAATATATCATCAACACATCATAATATCAACATGCATGGACCATTTAAAAAATAATGCATAAGGTAGCAACAGTGCAAAGTGCTTGATGCAATCAGAGTGAAATTTGTAGTACAAATATTGACTATATTGTAAAAATGCCAATTCAAGCAATAAAAATGAAGTTTCATGAGCTGTGTGTAGTTGAAAAGCAGAACAGATCGCATAAACAATTATATACAGGAAAATTCACACACCTTGTTTCAGTCAAAATTTCTTACAGAAGGTACATTTCAGATGTTTGAATTAAACTTTTAGTAATCATGGCCGCTTTCAGATGTATTACAGAAGACTTAATATAAAATAATGCCCATGACCAAATCTTAGGTTGGATGCTAACGTTACTATATTTCACGACCCCCAGAACCCCATAATATTTACAAATTTTGTGGGACCCCATATGCATTCCACAAATCTGACACACGCGTGAGTGAAACTGTCAATTTTTTCACTTGTACTGTAATATACTATTGCAGTTTCAGGTCATTAACTTTATTTTATAATTTAAAGACATAGAACAATGTGAAAATTTTAAATAAGTAACAGAAGAAATGACAGCGTAACTTTATTTTATAATTTAAAGACATAGAACAATGTGAAAATTTTAAATAAGTAACAGAAGAAATGACAGCGTCACGTGCAAAGCAAGGGAAATGAACGTTTATATTACAAAAAGAATGCATCAAAACGCTTTTGTTTTTTTCTTTGTCTGTATGGTCTTACCTTTATCTATTTTCAGATACATTGTGTAAAAATATTTGGTAATTGTAAAATTATTATAATAAGAAATATCAAAACTGCTAAAATTTTTGACGACCCCCCCCTGCTGCAGGTCTTTTGACCCCTAGATTTACAGATTTACAGAGCTAATAGTTTAAGAAACCCTGCTATAGTAGAACCTATATTAATCAGGCTTCTATCAACCTTGTCTCAGTTAATGAAGCTGGCAATCAAGTTAAAGAAATATCTGGAAAATGCAGTGACATTAGAAAAATACTGACTGCTTTATCAGGGCTCAGTAACATTTCAAATTTTATTAGTGATTGATATTTTGGCCTTTCTTATCAGAAATGGGTCATTAAACAACCTTCCTATTGTACATTGCAGTAAAAATTGTGATATATACGTGTTGAAAATGAAATCAATGTCAACTGATAATTATTTACTAGACATGTTTCAAGGATAAAAGAATGATGTTTCAAAATGGATAAATACAGAAAACAATGAACCAGATTTTCAAATTTTGAGTGATGAAGAAATCATTTACAACATAGATATAGCAAACAATAAAAACTGTAGTAATGTAAAACGTGAAAATTAACCATACTGAAGTTTTGATTTCGTTTTATTTTGACTGCAGTAAAGCATATGATGGCACTCTGTCTAAAGAGAGGATTGCCTTCAATGAAGATTTTTAAGGAAAACATCTCATATAAATATACCTCATATATGCATCAAATATGTAGCATACATATATGAAATATATCTCATATATGCATTAAATATGTGCAAAACCATGAAAAGTTTCTATGCAGCCATCCCAGCAGTCACGATCTGAAGAGTTGAACAACCAAAATTCAGCGATCACCCACTTGCGCTTTGCACCTATTAATTTTGCTGAAGCCTTTAGCAAAGCTCTTTAAAGCAACATCCCGATGCTTTTCTTGTGGTTCTTTTGCTTATCAAAAAGTGATATAATTACACAATAGATTCAGCGATCACCGACTTCTGCTTTGCACCTATTAATTTTGCTTTAACAAAGCTCTTTAAAGCAACAATCCGATGCTTTTCCTGTGGTTCTTTTGCTTATCAAAAAGTGACATAATTAACACCATAGATGATAGATTTACAGAGCCATCATAAAAAAAAAGGTTGACATACATTTATTGATTCATTAGGTTTATAGATGTAAGAGATGCAAAAAATGTGCAGGATCCCCACCATAATTCGAACACCAGATCTTCCAACTGCTAGCTGGACATGCTTCCCATTATGCAACAAAGGCAAGGAAGAAAATATCTTATATACTTTCCCTTTTAAATGGTGCCTGGGGAGGTGGGGGCCAAATCACCAAATCCTGGAGTTGACAAAGCACGGTCC